GAGAATTTTAAAAAGTGACCAACATAGAGGTTGTAGAGGATGTTACAAGCTTTCCAAAATGTCAATTAACTCATTGAGATCATGTTTGAGCAAAGAGAATCGAAGAGATGAAGTTAGGGTTTCATTCTTGATTTACAAGCCATTTCCATGATGAACAAGAATTCAAATCCAAGCCTAGGCTGTATAATATTTGCTTTTCAGGCCTCAAACTTGTTTGAAACTCCATAATTAAATGTTTGCACAGCTGTTAGAAGCTTTAATCCAAGAATTCAATGCATTGCCCATGCTTAATACCATTTTAGGAAGAAAGGCAACATTGCCATTTTGGAAAAGTGACTTTTATACACAAAGTCAACTCTTGAGTTTGCACTTGTTTTATTCTGATCACACACAATCTAAAAGCCATGAGAAACTTGTCAAAAGCCTCTAACAACTCAGGCCATGCTTGTACTTTGCTTTGAAACTATATTTCCACTTTTCTTCAAAATCAAGTAACATAGCCATAAGTCTATATATTATGATTCTGACCCTCTCAAGTGCTATAATATTTTCCATACATATTCACAAGTTGTTTGCAAGCTAACACACAAATACACAAGCTCAAAAAACTCCCCCAAAGTCAGATTTGCACAACAGACCTCCATTGTTGCATATTCTGGCCAGAAATCCCAAAATTAAAAACTACTCGTGTGTTTCTTGGCCTTTTGCTTTCAAAAGCTTCCAAACCTCATACATAAGCCATCCTTGTCCCTGTTACACGACTGTAACACAATCTTCACCCACTTCCAAGTTCAAAAACAAAGCATCACAGTTGGACTTCTCCAAACCATTCCAACCACCTTCAGTTCAAGCCAGCCATTGCATTAGCTTCCTAGAGGTCCATGGAAGCTAACCTGATCATCACCATCACTTGAAACAAGCTCAAACTCATTTCACGATTTCAGTTTTTTAGGTATTTTTCTTTAACTTCTATCTCATTATTTAGGAATTGTTAGGCTTGCATCTGTGAAGATAGAATGTAGGTACTATTGCCCTGAAACTATACATGTCCATAGATTTCACTTATGTTGCTTGAGCATGGAGAATTTTGAGTTTGAACATGCTGAAACATTTAGGTCAGAATTTGGTACTTTCATAAATTCATCCTTATCTTTGAATGTTAGCTTAAATTAGTTACATTGTTGGATTCGTGGCTAAAAAATATACAAGTTTTATGTTTACATTTTTGAAAATGGTTGAGGAATGAGAAAGTTTGAAATACTTTGGCTGGAGGTTAAAGATGAAGTACAATCAGAGCAAAATTTGTGTTATGTATTTATTATTGTGTACAAGTTAACAGATGTATCACCATCCCAGTGGTTAAAGCGCGCGTCTGTCACCCCTTGGACCTGGGTTTGAGCCCCAGCGTCCGTTTTACCTTTTTTTTGGTTATATTTTCTATTTTTCTCTCCCTTTTTTGTTTGTAACAGGTACTAGGTCTCCTCCTCCTTGGGCCTTTATTTTTGCTGACCCCCCCTGATTATGTTTCATACCCATTGGCCCATTTATTTATTTATTTATTTCATTTTTATTTTTATTTTAGTTTATTTTACTTTCATATTTTCTTGTTATTATTTTTATTACTAATATTATTTTTATTATTAATAAAAAAATCCAAAAAATATTTATTTTATTGTTTTCACACTCATATTTTATTTTTCTTTATAAAAACTAAAAAGACAAAAAAAACATTTTCTTTTAACAAATTAATTTCTTTTTTATGAATTAATATTTAGACTTAGGATTAATTACTACATTATTTTCTTTTATTAATTAAAATTAATTTAGAATTTAGGTTTATTTTAATTAATTAATCTTCCTATTATTTTTAATCTAAAACCTTTTCACGAAAAACCCTAAAAATCATTTTTAACTTATTATTCATTGTTAATTAATTTAGGTTTTAGTTTTAGCTAATTTTAATTAATAATTTTCTTAACTAGGTTTAGGATAAAATTCTTTCATAAAAATACAAATAAAAATCATTTCTTTTTCCATTTTGCATTCTTGCATTTTTCTCTTCAATTTTGTACAATATTCAATATGGTTGTAATAATTAATTAGATTTAATTTTCTTGCAAAATCACCATTTGTAAATTTGTATACCCCTTCCCCAATGATGTAATAGCTTTGTATTTTTATTTTCCGCAATTTAATACTTTATATATAAATGCTAGTAAATTAGGATTTGTATGGAAAGATTAAAATCAACGAGTTAGCAAACCCTAAATAAAGACAAAATAATACATGTAAATTAACAGACTTGCACACCTACACTCTTAAGGGTAAATCCACTTTGTTGCCTTATGAAAAATGGTCATGTTATGCATGTGGGATATCTTAGCAAAAACAATCAAAAAATACAAGATCATGGTCCCTCGACGACGCTATCAAAGTTGCCTTTCCAAATAATCTTAGTCCCTCAAAGAGAATTGCTAAGATATTTCACAACATTGCTATCATGGCTATACCATGACCCACGTCTGTCCCTTTACATCCAAATATGGGGCTTCTTACCAAATAAATGGTAAGATAGCAATATTAAAGGAAAGGAAGAAATGAACTAAGACTTTTGAGTAGGTAGATTGTTTCTAGTTGCTTGCTCATTTTCAAATCAAACATCCTTGCCATTTTCAAAACAAACACCAACACTTTCAAAACATCTTTTCAAACTTGAAACATTTTCAAAAGATCAACACTTTGTATACGTTCTTACGAACGAGAACTATTACAAAGTTTGCCTAAATGATTGCGCCTTTTCAAAATACTTTCAAAAACCACAAAGCACATTTTCAAACAAAAGCAAGTGATCTAGCAAACAACTAAGAGCCCATAGATAACTATGGTTGAAAAGGATGCTAATACCTTCCCTTTTCATAATCTATCCCCCAAACTTAATAAATAATCTCAAAGGTGTTTCCTGTTCTTTTCAGCCTTTCCTTTTAGATAAAAGAAAAGTCGGTGGCGACTCTTGCTAACCGCAACATTTGCAATAAAACGCAAAACAACCAAGTTAGTTTTCCCACCGTATCACAGAACTGGCGACTCTGCTGGGGAATATACTCAAATTGTGAAGCCTGGATCTGACCTGATAACAGCTGACATTCAAGAGATATTCCCCAGCGGAAGCATCCTTTCAACAAAGTTAGAAGATATGTATATTCTTCTTCCCCAAAAGCAATCAAGGATTCAACTCCGCATAATTTCCTAAACAGTAGTCAAGGATTTATTTTTCCGGACAAAAACATGCATCTCACATTCATACATCATGACATATACATACAAAATGCATTTAGCATGATCTCATTCATGCTGTGAACATCATGCATGCATCTGCATTTTATTAACTCTTTTTTCCCACAGGTAAAACATCAAGTGTTAGTATGACTCGAACAAAAATTTGTGTTGATACTTCTTCCAGTATTTACTAACATCCCTCCAAATGGCATCTATAAGCCCATTCACAATCCATCTTCGAGTGCAATTTTGAGCCAATTTTCCATCACGATGCAAGATGATTCAAAGGAAACTTCCAACATGAAAGTTGTAGATCTCAAGGAGATCTAAAACATTGTATAAATAAATTCTCCTAGAAATGCATGGATTTCAAGTTATGATTTTGTGAATACATGTTCATGATACTTGGAAACTTAGTGAAATTTTGCCCTAGTTTAGGCAGGATTTTGACCTAACTTCATGGCAACTTTTCACATAGTTCCAAGAGGAATTTTAAAAAATGTCCAACATAGAGGTTGTAGAGGATGTTACAAGCTTTCCAAAATGTCCAAGAACTAATTGAGATCATGTTTGAGCAAAGAGAATCAAAGACAAGAAGTTGGACATTCATTCTTGAGTTATAGGTCATTTCCATGATGAACAAGAATTCAAATCCACACCCATGCTGCACAAATCTTACTTTTCAGGCTTCTAAACTCTCAATCTATCCATAATGAGAAGATTACACTACTATTTGAGCTATGATCCAAGTGTTTGAGTCATTGTCCAAGTGATTATTCCATTAATGGAACAAAGTTCACACTTCCATTTTGGAAAAGTGACTTTAATAACAAAGTCAATGCATAGAGCTCATAACTTGTTTCATCTGAACACAATCAATGTGTCATACCCCATTTGTTGCCCCTAATCTGTTCATTCATAAAATCATATGCATTTACATCATAAATCTTTCATTCATTTGAGATATTAAGACATGGGCTCAAATGGCTCTTGATATTAGGGTTTTCCCCTATGAATTGAGTTTACTGTCTCTCTCAAGTTGATCCCACTGTTCCATTTATCACTCTTGGTATAAAATCAGGGTTTTGGATCTACAAGCATTATGGTTATTTTCTGTGACAAGATTCCTCGAGATACAAGTTTTTCTTCGTCTGAATTTCTTCAAGAAACCAGTGCATTAGGATTTGACTTGTGTACTCAATACTTTATCATGAATTCGAAGGATCGTTCATGGCTAATTTCTTATGATTCAAGTGATAAAGGATTATATTATGATCATGCAAGATTGCAAAGCATAGGTAATTTGTTCATAAAATCTTATTCAATATGTTCTCAAGGCACAAGTTTGTTCCTTTTTTCTATCATTTTAATCCTTTTATTCAAGGGCATCCCTCATGGTTTTGCAAACAAGGTCCTTTTATTTAAGAGGCAAGTTCAATTTCTTTCAATTCAAAGTCCTCAAAGAATTTCTTTTATTATTCTCAAGTTCACTTAATTCATCACGGCTTAGTTTATCATTCAAAATAAGCAAAGTATGTCAACTAGTTGTGCCATTTCTTCAACCGGAAATTACAAAAGTAGAAACCACGTTTTTCCTTGTACTGCACAAAAATAAGGAATTACAAGACATTTTGTTCCGTGTTCCTAAAGCTATGCTAAACTTCTTGTCAAGTTCTTCGTGCCTACCCTAATCGTCACCAACATACTTCAACAGACTTTGAGCAATGAACTTCGAGCAGCCTTGCTTTGATATCAACATAATCTCAGTCTTGTGTCCTTACCACTACCATGATAATTCATGCTTCATACGACCCCAAAGATTTTGCACACTTGCACCTTTGCCATACCAAGATATAACCTGCATAACATTAAACCAGAAGATACCAAGCAGAAGAGATAAATTAGAAAACAAAATAGAGCCAAGACAAATGAGAATCTTGAGAAGTAATTTCTTTCTTGGCAAATAATTCAAAGAAAACTTAGAAAGTCAGCATAACTATAATTCCATCTAGGAGCTCCAAATCATATTCAAACTTGTTACGAACTTAGTCTAAAATCTTCTTCAGATAAGAACATGTGAAATTATATCCAAAACTGGTTCATAAATTGCAACCTGCAATGTAAAAAAGGACTTGTCCAAATTAAAAACAGAACCAGAAAATACCGAAAGCAGAAAGTGCAGAGGAAAATAAATCGGGAATTAAAAATATAGAAAGAGAATTTCAGAGCAAGCTTCATATCAGATGTTACAACTCAACATGTTTAAAAACTTCTCTAACAAGCTGCATAACAGAATTGGAAATGAGAAACGAGATTCAATCTCAATCATTCATTTGATATGACCAATTTATAAAATCAAGGGATGAGATGTTTTTACCTGCAATAAGCTTCTCACACAAGCCAATCCAACTGATATATAAAAGAATTTATCTCCAGATTGGAAGGGGGGGAGTTCTTCAAAAACTTCTCAGAATAGCTTCAAAGTTCTCTCTGAGATTCTCTAAAGCTTCAACGATTTATTTCAAAGAAAATCTAAGAAAAACTACACAAGCTCTTTGAAATCTCTCCAAACTTATCTTTGAGTTTCTCTTTAATCTTCGAGTATCATCACTGATTCTTTATCTCTCTGTATCATCTTCATTTCTACTGTAATCTAGTCGCATCGATTCATCGATCTGCATCCATCAAAACAATAACAGAAACGCATACACGAAGAATCAGTGAAAACAAATCGTAGAAAAAGAAAATCTGAAGATGAAGTGATCTTAAAGAAGCAGTGGAAGCAAGTTTACCTCTGTATTTGAGATCCTCTTTCCAAATTTGAAGAAGGCGTCAGACTTGCCTCCGGTAGGTAAGTATACTCCACTCTCTTCTAATGTAATTTTACTGTCTTGTTCAGATTGATTGCGTTGAATATTTTCATAACTCCATAATATGAGTTGAGATATTGAGAGGAATCCGCGGAGAATTAATTTGAGGCGAAGAGCTGAAACAGAGTCGTGTAGTAGTTGAAATTTGAATGAAGCAAACCGAGGAGACTGAGAGGTTTGCAGCATCATTGAGTCCGTTACTGTCAGAGAAGGTCGATTTAGAAGTAAATGAGGTCAGAGACTGAGAGTGATAATTGGCGACGACTTGAATCGAAGAAGGTGATGGAAAACAGTCACGACGTCGTGGTTGAAGAAGTGGATTGAGAAGATGTCCATGGTGGTGATACGTTTGTACAGATCGGAGTTTGAAAGTTTGAGCCACGAATTGAGAAGTTTAGGACGCGCGATTCAAAGAAGTTACAAGACTGGGTTGGTGCGACGAGGCTGTGAATGACGAAGTTGAATTGAACGCATGGAGAGTGTTGAGACATTGAAGCTGAAACGAAATCAGAGGAATAAAACGAGGTTGAATCAGAGATGAGCGGAGCAAGATGGAAGAGACGACGGAATCGGCGAAGCCGCGAAGGCAGCCATGGCGCTGTAATTTTGAGTAAAGGGAAGAAGTTGATTCGACACAAATTCCCAACCCTAGCCCTCTTCTCTTAAACGAATTTTTTTAAATTTGTTTTACTAAATAAAATTTTGAAATAAAAAAAAATAATACTGAATTTTGGAAAATTGATTTGGTTTAAGTTTATGATTGTCTTTGGGCCAAAATGAAGATTTCGTTGGGCCTGCCTCATACTTTTTTTCTTCTTCTGCCCATTACCATCATTTTTGGAGCCTAAAGGTATTGGACAAAAAATAACCATCTTGGATCCAGACTTGGGCCTAGTGCCTGAGATTCTACACCATACCCCAAGGTTCCAATTTCGCACCTCCCCCTATTTTTCTTTTTTCTAATCTCTCTCTTCCATTTTAATTGTCTTGGTTTTAATTTCTTTTATCGACTCTAGGTATTAAAATAATAATAGTAAATAATAAAAAGATATATAAGAAAATGTTTTAGGTTTTTTAGAAGTATTTTAGGATTTAGTTAGGTGCTATTATTTCTTCATGTTCTTAATTTCTATCTTTAAATCAAGTTTAAACATCATGTTTTATGTGTTTTCTTTGTGTGATATTGATAAGATGCTTAAGTATTGAGCATAATTTTGTATTAATGCCATGCTCCTTTAGGATTCCATAAGACGGTTAATCTCCCTTTTGATTCTTTTAAGTTGATTAGACCTTAGCATTTCGATACAAGCATGATAACATCAGGATAATCCCTCCATCTCCTCTCATCTTTTTTAAAAATCTTCTCCCTCCTTTTCAAAACTCTTCTTGTTGTCTAAACTGGATTTTCTTTCATAATAAACTTGGACTTATGTCCATGCATTTTCGAAATTATCTTTCTTAATCAAATTTTAACCAACTTAATCATACTTTGACATTTTTTTGTGAGAAGACTAAAAGTCAATAAATCTCATTCAAACTATTTTGCCATCTTGGCTTTCATTTTAAAACTTTTCTCAAAAGATCAGTCTCTTGTCAATCTTTATAGTGATGCAAAAAACTATACTTCTACAATATGTAGTGAAGAGAGATATTTTCCACTAGGGTGTTGAGTGAGGTTTTGTTGATTTTAAAATCCAAACCATATCCTTCACTCTGAGATGATGCAAATTCTCCTTTCTCATGATTGTGGGTAGTAAGTATGTTTTCCACATGGACAATGACAATGATGTCTTATCTCATAAAATTAACCAACACACTTGTGTTTTAAAATTTTTAAAGAAGAACTACGAGTGTTCTGATTCCTCCTGGGATACGTAGGCACTGGATTAGAGATTCGGGCGAACGCAATAATAAAAAAACTTTCTTTTTCCCAAATTGATTCATTCATGCAAATAGCTTTTTTTTTATATAGCCAACATACACAGATTTACAAAGAGGTTCCTGCGGAGTACCGTAGATATTTAGGGTGCTAATACCTTCCCTTTGCATAACCAACCCCCTTACCTTGAATCTTTCCCCCTCTTTCTGGGTTACTTGCTCTTTTCCTATTCCTTTGGAAATAATAAAGCGCGGTGATGATTTTTATTTTGATCTGCGTAAGCCTAGTCAATCCAATGGCTTAGCCTTAAACATTTCTACCGCTACAAAAAAATGGAGACTTTACTAGGGACAGATCAACCTCTTGCTGGTCCATCCCTAAGTGGGTTGAGACTATCTTTGTTTATTTGTGTATGTGCTATTATTTATTGTATATTATTTGTTATATATATATGTTTGTTTGCAGGTTTTTTCTGGTATTTAGGGTTCAGTGATCTTTGTGTGGTGAGATAAGTCCTATACCCGGACTTGAGTGCACTTATGTTTAGGACGGGCGGTATAGTCATGTTAACTTCGAGGGAGTAATCCCAAAAAAGGAGACATGAGACCCCCCACTCAGTGGAGGCCCCTTTGACTGTAGTGTCATTTACTGACTAATCGGGAAGACATGCTACTTTCGACCTAGGATCCTGCTGAAGTTAAGGATCGTAGAACCCCTAACCTATCTTGGCCTTTTAGGAGTAGCGCGGAAGCTATGACGAAGTAATCTGGAAGTGGTTGTCAGGCGATACTACACTCGAAAGAGTTTTTCCTGAGAATATTTCTAATTACCAAGTAATCGGGACGTTGGTAGTATCCGAAGGAAGGATGTAGACTCTGGGAACCTTTTAGAACCTTGATTCAGAAGGTGATAAATTATTAGTCCATACCTTGTGGGTTGGTTGTTACTTTTGCTCCATGCTCGTGACGCCAAACTTTTGAACATGTTCTGTTCTACTTGTTCAGAGGATTGTACAATGATTATCCAGATTATATGAGGACCTTTGATCCCATTCCTTTGATCTTATGTATGTGCATATCGTCATTACCTGAAGTTTATTATGACAAGCATGTCTTGCATCACCAGGGTATTCCAATCTTTGATTCTTGTATTGGACTTATCCTCTTGAGATAGATGCTTATAGAAGAAGCACCATTGGTTACAAGTTCATGATACCTACTCTGAAGTCTCTTCTTGATTTGGTTTCCAATGCCACTCCAGACAACATAGAGGTTTTCAAACAAAGAGTATAGGAGAATTCTGGATATTCTCCACCTTTTGAAAGGAGGGTTATTCGTGCTATCTTTTAGTTTTATGATCCCTCTCTGAGATGCTTCTCATTTCCAGATTATCAGCTTGCTCCCGCTTTGGAGAAATCTTCTTATATTTTGAGGGATTCCAATCAAAAATCAGGTTCTTTTTAACACTTTGATGAAGGTTTCTGAATTTCCCTAGATTGCAGAGGCTTTTTTATTTGAGTGAAACTGTTGTGAAAGACAACCTTATGGTTAAAATACGCATTTCTGGGCTTCATCTGAAGTTTCTAGTTGAGAAAGCTTATGCCTTTGCTATTTCAGTTAGTTGGAATGTGTTTAACACAATCTTGGCTCTTTGCATTTATGGGATTGTGATCTTCCCAAATGTTGTGGATTTTATAGATGTGGATATTATTTGTTTCTTTATGCTGAAGAATCCAGTGCCTTCCCTGCTTGGTGATGTTCATCATTCTATACATGTGAGGAATGACATAAAAGGAGGACTTGTTCTTTGTTATGCTTCTCTTCTTTATATGTGGTTCATGAGTCATCTTCCTCAGACATGAACTTTTGTGGATGCCAAGGATTATGTGAAATGGTCTAAGAGACTGACGGGTCTTTCTACCCATGATATTGTTTGGTACTCCAGAAAATATGATTATGATGAGTTTTTTCACAGTTGTAAGGAGTTCCTGAATGTGCCTTTTAAGGGTAAGAGGAGGTATCAACTATAATCCCATCCTTTCTCAATGCAAGTTGGGTTATGAGATGCAAGGCTAACCCAATAAAAAATATGTGGATGAGTCCATTCTTTATGCTTTGACTGGGAATCTTGAGTTGCTGATGAAGCCTGGAATGAAATTCAGTTCAGAAGGAGGGCTGAAGGCCCCTATATTGATTGGGTTAAGAAGAGTGTTGAGATTTTTCACATACCTTTTCCTGTGGAATTACCTTTGTATCCACAAACCCTTATTCAACACACTTTTGGGCCTATTTAAGAGTTCAACAATCACCAAGATGACAATCAAGAACTCATAATAAAATTGAAGAGTTGAAGAAAGAACTCAATAAATCTACCTATGAAAGGAATGAGCTAAGAAGGGACTGTTCAGACGAAAAGTCGAAAGAAAGTAAGAATAGGAAATGGCTTGAGAGTAGCTTACCCCATTGTTGATGATGAAAAGGAAGAATGTCGCCAAAAAGAGAAGGTTGATCACCAACTCATCATGGGAAACTTCCAATTGAACAAAAGCTCTAACAGAGATTGTAGAACTCAAAGAGAATTCACAAGCCAAGAGGAGTTTAACTACAAGAAACTTCAAGAAGAAAGTTACCATTTGGAGCACCATTTTCTCTTTAGAAGTTATTTACCCCAGGAGAAATGTTCTTATTCAAGAGTTGATTCAGAAGCCAAAGCATGATGCAAAGCCGAAGATTTTCAAAGAGAGACTCAGGAGTAGAGCAAGAAACATCTTGGTTGGAGAGGTCTTGCTAATTAGAAGATGTTCCTAAAGGGATGTGCATCTGTTTATCTGTGATCTCCATCATTTGTTTTAATGGGATCCATTTCCTTTGAATTTTGCCTATGGATTTTGATTACACTAAATCCATGATAATATCTCTGAGTTACATTTTCTCTTTGCCAGTGTTATATTCCTCTTGTATTTACTTGCTTATTCAAAGTCGGTAGATTCTTTGGAAGTGATTAAACATAGTGTTGGCATACTCTTATGCATCGTTATGCATTCATGCATCTTTATGCACACAAACATTCATAACAGGTGTTCAGCATCAGAGATTATTGTTTTGACTTGGTTTTCTCTGATGGAAGTGTAAACCTGGGTTTCCCTCAGTGCCAAAATTCTCAGCAATCAAAGATTAGCTATGATGTAATTTTGTGAAGACTTGATTGGGATGAAGGTACAAATGGGTCAGCTTATGGAAGAAATGCAAAGATTGCGGTCTTGTATTCATTGCTGCAATAGAGGTTGTTACTCCTCCTTTCTCTTATCCTTCAGGATTTGATTCTTGATACCTGGTGTGATTTCTATTCTGAAGCACCTTGATTGAGAAATTTAAGGTTGGAATACATTTGAATGTAAATTCCAAGACCTCATTAATTCTGGGGCAATCATTCATTCCAGATGGCTGTAGAAATTGAAGCCTTTGTCCAAGTAAGTGTCAAGACTGCGAAAGCATCTTCCAGGAAGCAATGAGCCTAGATGAAGTAAGTCTTTTCAACATTGGCATGCATTAGTTTCTTATTTCATTCCCATTTGTAAACATTCTTCCATGTTAATACACTATTTGCATATGAAAATTTGTTTGTTTTTAAATGTTAATCATAATACACTGAATATGGTTGACTTGAAGTAATCAATTTTTATTCACTCATAATATGTTTTTCTGCATTGTGATACTAACCTTTCTCTTACGCAAAGAATGGAGGGAGGATGATGATAGTAAAATGCAAAATTTCTAGTTGTATGCTTTTGGATAAAACCCTGTTGACGATGTACAGGCATTGTTTCAAATTCCCAAACACCGGAGATATAAGGGAGTGAAACCCTCGTCAACCCCTTTGAGCCTTGAAGTAGGAGTTTCTTTTTACATTATGAAAAAACCCTCATTCTTTAACCCGGGGCACGGTAGTTTTTAGTTAATTTGATCGAGTGTTCAGAACTCATCAGAAGTGCGCACCCAAGGATACAATAATGGTTATCCTTCAAAAGGTTGAGGAAAGTCAAAACCGCAACGGATAACTTTCACTTATCAAGTATGTGTGTCAAATAAATATATCCTAATGGGTATCTCTCGCACATCAGGAATTCAGCAGATGATGATACAACAATGGTTATGCCTCATCTACCAAGGACTCAGGCAGTCACAATTCTTCCAACATATCGAAAATGACTCAATGTCACATGACAAGTTCAAAAGGAAAGAAAAGGTAATATGAAAAAAATATGATGAAAAAGAAAGATACAAAAAGCCCCTCTAATTTGAAACTTGAAAAACAAGTCGCTTAGGAAAAAGTCAGGGCATCTCGCTGGACTTCAGAGTCAAATTCATAAGGAATTTGTCTAGGAAAAAGTTATGGAAAGCAAAGAAAAGCCTGAAAGGCAATAAAGGATTACAGCGTAAAATCCTCAGCAAAGGAAAGAGTCGTGTGACAAGAAACCCAAAAGAAGCAAAAATGAGTGACTTACATGTCCAAAGAAAACCTCGGTTGGTTCCTCAACCATCTCGAAATTTCTATTGAGAGATGAAATTCGTATCAAGTTAACTGAATATAGGACTGGAGAACATCATGAAGGGGGTGAGCACCAAATAATTTTGAGCCTTAAAATCCATTTTTTTCTAAAAACTATGAACCAGGCCACGTTACAACCCTCAAAAGTCCTAATTGAAGCAGGCTTTATTTCAAGAGCATACTTCGATGAGATAGCGTTCCTGACTTCCAAAAAGTTATGCTAAAAAGATATGTGTTAGTATCATTTGCTTGCATTGTTTGGTCACATCATAACTAAGTGATTTCTTTCACAAAAATTTTGTGGTATATTTTCAAAAAAAAAAACTTCAAGATTAACATGATTTGTGCATTAGAATTATCATTCTCAAAATAAACATTTTTTCCTACTTGCATAAATGTGTGTTTGACATCAAGGAAGTATACATCTGATTATCAGTGAGAAAGCTTAAACATTATCAGGGGCATTCTCCCTAAAAGACTCTTTTTAGCAGGGGCAAGTTGTTTTTCCCAGTATGATTCTTTTTTAGTTGATCATCCTTAAAAGGCAAGGCTTGAATATTTCGTTAAACCAAGAAGGTGTCAGGTTTCATCCAATCTAGGGAAATTACATTGAGATTCGGCATATTTCTCCATGAATTAGTCGACTAAGTAGACTATCTCGTGACAATTCCCTTGAAGATCATGTTGTCTGTGGCACAAAATATGCGCCAAAGTTATTGAATCCAGGGGCAATCCAGATTTAACAGGATTTGTTGTTATGGATTTTCTCAAGCACGAGGTTTCCTGGACTCTCTTTTCTTAGTAAAGACACCAGAAGGTTCAAACGTTGGTTCCCAACAATATTATTTTTTGACCTCTCTATGTTGTGGAATTTAGATTGAGAGTGTGCATTTTTTTTGCACGTGAAGACTTTATCTCCTCAGCAGGAAAATGTTGGTATTTCCCCAGGATAGTTCACTCAGATCATTCTTGTTGATATGTGCATGATTTTTTAGTGTTTCATAAGTAGTTGGAGATGATACCAATTGATGTATGGCGCGGTGTTGGGTTCATGATCCCATTTCCCCCAGCCAAGTCTTGGTTCATTGTAATTTCAGGTTTGCATGGTCTGAGGCCTCTATCCCAGATTCCTTGGTGAAGTCTTCCCTCATATGACGAAAGATCTTGTTCCCTTGGTGTTATGAGATGGAACTACTTGCAAAATGTCTCTCTTTTTGGCAGTATTGGCATTATTGTTGGTATTTATTCCCCAGGAAGGCTATCCCGGGCATTATCATTTGAATAAGTTTGCATGATATGAAGACTCAATCCAAGATTCCCCAGTTAAGGCTTCACTTATTTGATAAAAGTCTTTTCTCCCCGTGCATGCTGAGTTGGACTCATTTGCGAAGCATCTCTCTTTTGGCAGTACTTGCATTTTGATTGATTGCCCGAAAGTTAGGCAAGGGCAATATTTCATTTAAGAAGCATGGAGACATTTGTTAATTATTTGGGTTTTCACCTGCCAAGTGCTGGGTTTGATTTAAAATCCCCATAAGTTTGATTTCTTACTGTAATGTTTGACTTCTTAACTCCCCAAATTGTTATCCCCATGAGGTTTTATACTTTTTCCCCAAAGAAGTTGGTGCAATACTTACTCTCAATATTGAATAACGTATCTCCGATTTCCCCAGTGAAGAACGTATCTTGGTTTCCCCTCGATGATGTGGTGTTGACCTCCCCAATGAATTCAACACGAAGTCCACAGTTGATGTCTCGATGATGAAGCATTATCTCCCTTAGTGAAGTCTGTATAATTTTTCTCCTTTAAAGTTAGCCTAAATTCCCTAGTGGATGTTTTGACAATTTGGTTTCCATCTTCCTTATTTGAAATCAGTTTTGCAATCCCCAGTAGAAGTGCTACATATGAAAACATTTATTTCCCCGTTGAAGCCCGAGTACTATTCCCTGGTGAATCTTGGAGAAGGATGTTATATCCCTATATCTGTACTGTTTTGTTGCTATGATTGTTTCTCCCCAGTAAAGTTAAGCCATGCAGTAGGAATTTGTTTCCTCAGTTGGTGCTTACTCTCTTTTGGAATGATCGTCTTGGATGTGACTTAGTCGAGTGTTGTTTGCACCCGAGTTGGTTTTGTTTGTTTATCCCCAATACTATATGTTTGTTTTATCAACATATGCACGATAGCACTCATACATGCATACATACATCATGCATAGCTAAACTTAGCAAATCATTGCTCAATCATATCCATTAATATTTTTTTTAAGATATTACCATGTTTTGCAGATTTGTGTTGTCCTCTCTCCAATAGGGTGTCAGCTTTTAGCAAAAAGTGTATATTCTTTCAATTTCCCCACTGAGTTATCCCTCGTGGAAGATTTTTGCTTTAGCCTTCCAGCACAACTCCTTGACTAGATTGGGGTTCCCTCTTGAGTTTATTTCTCAAAGAATGTATTTTGGAAGACCGTTTTATTCCAGTTTATTTCTGGTTTGAATCCTTGATTCTCAGCACTATTATTACTTTGGATTTCTACAAGCTTAGAGTTTTGGTTTGAGAGTGTGCATTTGTTTTGCACGAGAAGACTTTATCTCCTCAGCAAGAGTATATTGGCATTCCCCAGGAAGTCATATTTCTTTCCCCAGGAAGTCATGATTCATTCCACAGGAGGTCATATTTCTTTCACCAGGAGGTCATATTGCTTTTCCCAAAGTCATTTTTACAATCCTTCCTATAACAACGAGTAGCATGTCTCTTTATTTGAGAAACTTGTAATTCCCTATAAAAGTCGACGTTACCCTTTTTTTTTATCTTCTCTATGAGTGGACAATTCACAGTTTGTTGTCAAATTACTCATGTGGATGGAAAGTATTTCAATATCGCAGAAACAGTTCACTGTGAAATCTTTACAAGTGGTAGTCTCTTTATTTGAGACAACTTATATATTACCCTTTCCATGCAGAATGCCTTGGTTAAAGAAGAAGTTGAGACCCGTTCTAGGTGAAATGCCAGAATTTTGGGGAAACTTGTTATCTTTTTGCTACCTTTAGTGACCGTTGGTAGTTCATCATCAGTGAACGACGGTGCTATGATATACTATGTTTCTACCTTCAGTGAAAGTTGGTAGGTCACCTTCAGTGAAAGTTGGTGATTGTTATCTTTTTGCTAC